TGGGTGTGGGTGACGCATGCGGGCGCGGGCACTGGGGCCTTCGGCGGAGCTCCCTATGGAGCCACGAAACGTGTGAGGGGTGTGCCGAAATGGGTGTGGGTGACGCATGCGGGCGCGGGCACTGGGGCCTTCGGTGGAGCTCCCTATGGAGCCACGAAACGTGTGAGGGGTGTGCCGAAATGGGCGTGGCAGACGCATGCGGGCGCGGGCACTGGGGCCTTCGGTGGAGCTCCCTATGGAGCCACGAAACGTGTGAGGGGTGTGCCGAAATGGGTGTGGCTAACGCATGCGGGCGCGGGCACTGGGGCCTTCGGCGGAGCTCCCTATGGGGCCACGAAACGTGTGAGGGGTGTGCCGAAATGGGTGTGGCTGACGCATGCGGGCGCGGGCACTGGGGCCTTCGGTGGAGCTCCCTATGGAGCCACGAAACGTGTGAGGGGTTTGCCGAAATGGGTGTGGCTGACGCATGCGGGCGCGGGCACTGGGGCCTTCGGTGGAGCTCCCTATGGAGCCACGAAACGTGTGAGGGGTGTGCCGAAATGGGTGTGGGAGACGCATGCGGCCGCGGCCACTGGGGCCTTCGGTGGAGCTCCCTATGGAGCCACGAAACGTGTGAGGGGTGTGCCGAAATGGGTGTGGGTGACGCATGCGGGCGCGGGCTCTGGGGCCTTCGGCGGAGCTCCCTATGGAGCCACGAAACGTGTGAGGGGTGTGCCGAAATGGGTGTGGGTGACGCATGCGGGCGCGGGCACTGGGGCCTTCGGTGGAGCTCCTATGGGGCTACGAAACGCTGTACTGGGTGGGTGAAACGCAGGGAAGAGGGGGGATGATGATGATGATGATGATGATGATGATGATGATGATGATGATGATGATGATGATGATGATGATGATGATGATGATGATGATGATGATAGATGATGAATTGATGATGAGCTGCAGCTGCTGCTGCCTGCTCGCTGCTGATGATGAGGACCGTCAATGATATGAGTTGATGTGGTGGGTGCTGATGGTGATGGGAAGGTGATGGTGGATGGTGATAGATGATGATGATGATGATGATGATGATGATGTTGATGGCAGGAGGGAGGGGGCAGCGGGAGGAGGAGGAGGAGGGAACGCGGGGCACCGTCTCTTCAAAACGAGGACCCAACACCACAGGATGGTTGGGAAAAACACACATGGAGCCCGTACGCCCCCCGCCCGGAAATGCGGAATTTCAGATGGGGCTGCGGTGGCTTGGAGGGTACCGCTTGCCCCTGGTAATAATCTCCGGGGGATCGTAAAGTTCGGGGTCTGGCGGGGGCAATCAATGATTTCCCTGGCGGATGATGATGATGATGATGATGATGATGATGATGATGATGATGATGATGATGATGATGATGATGGTGATGGTGATGGTGATGGTGATGGTGATGATGATGATGATGATGATGATGATGATGATGATGATGCTGATGATGATGATGACGATGATGATGACGATGACGATGATGATGATCCTGGGCGCTCGTGTAGACTGACCTTGTAGATCTTGGCACAAAGCTGACTCCACAGATCTCGAGTCTGGGCACTCGTGTACTCTGACCTTGTAAATCGTGGCACGAAACTGACTCGACAGATCTCGAGTCTGGGCGCTCGTGTACACTGACCTGGTAAATCTTGGCACACAACTGACTCGACAGATCTCGAGTCTGGGCGCTCGTGTACACTGACCTTGTAGATCTTGGCACAAATCTGGCTCGACAGATCTCGATTCTCGTGGCTACCATTGCCGTGCTCAGCGCTTTTGATGCTATTGTTAGTCGACATAAGATGATAGCAACTTCGATTCGCGACTCCCCCCGGGATTCTCAAGATCGGCCTCGCCGCCCCTCTCCACAATTACATCCGATTGACACGGGAAAGTAAGTATTCAGGGGGGTACGGGGGGGAGTACATCAGGAGGGAACAAAAACACACACAGACACAAATAATCGTCGACCCCCCAGGAAAGATGAGAGATTATGGGAAGTGGGGGGGAGGACGAACCCCCAGAGACATATGGAATGCATGGGGAGTCCTGCCATTGGGTCTGGTGATCTGTGTGCCCCTGGGGGCCCCACTTACCTGCGGTCCGTCGGCAGGCGGGGCCTCCCCGGCGGCGGGACGGCGACGGCGCCAGCCCGCGCGGCCGAGCGGTGTGCCCTCCTCGCTCGAGGCCCCCGGAGGTGGCGGCAGGCTCGCGCCGCGCCGGCCCGGCAGCGACCCCTGCGCGGACGCTCGCGGAGGGAAGCCGCGAGCGCAGGCAGCGGGAGGAGGGGGAGGAGGAGGAGGAGGAGGAGGAGGAGGAGGAGGTGAGGAGAGGAGAGGAGGGGAGGAGGGGAGGAGTGGTTCTTTTAGGAGAGGAGGAAGGAGAGGGAGGAGGAGGGAGAGGAGGAGGAGGGGAGAGAGGGGAGGGGAGGAGGAGGAGGAGAGGAGTGGAGGCGGAGGAGGGGAGGAGGAGGAGGAGGGGGAGGATGATGGAGGAAGGGAGGAGGAGGAGGAGAGGAGGAGGAGGAGGAGGAGGAGGAGGAGGAGGAGGAGGAGGAGGACCAGAGTAAACCCAAGAGTCATCAATGATGCTGGAGTAAACCCTCCCTCCAAGCTCCCTCGTCAGAGGCCCCTACAACGGTTCATTCGAGACGGGATCTGACCGGTTCGATCCGATCTGTTTCGGGCTCCGATGTTCCGACGATCCGACTCGGCCCGACGCACGCGCGGTGTTGTTGTGCGTCCTGGCGCGGCCGATCCGATTCGAATCCGACTCCATGCCGACGCTTTCCCACCCGACGCACGTTCCGACTCGGTGTGATTTCCAGATTCGATGTTGATCGGTTCTGCCCCAACGCGGACATTCCAGGTCGAAGCCGCTTGTGGCCGGGAATCGGAGGATACCGAACGATCGTCGCTAGTACAAGAAAAACCGCGATCACTCAAAGGTGAACGATCGACAGAGTGTCAGAGAGCCGACGTCGCCACGACACGAACCTGGCGTAGCTGGGGTCCCCTCGAGTGCTCCTGCGCTCATGTGCAGCAGCTCGTGAGGCTCGGTGCTGGTTTGTCCTGTCCAGGGCGGTCGGAGGGACGCCGCGGGAAACTCCCGACGCGCTCGGGGCCCAGACGTGGGTCCTGCGGATGGGCTCGGGGGTGCAGTTAACGGGAGCCTGCGTTCTTGTCCCACCGTCTTTTGGTGTGGGGTCTTGGTTTTGAAGAGACAGCGCACCACGTCCTTCCTCCTCCTCGTCCTCCTCCTCCTCGTCCTCATCCTCCTCCTCCTCCTCCGCGGTTCTCGGCCCTCCTTCTCCCATTTTGCCTCTACCCTCCGCAAGTTAACCATGTCGGCACATCCCTCAAGCGTTCGTGGCCCCATAGCGAGCTCCACGGAAGGCCCCAACCACAGCGTCCGCATGGCAGCACCGCACCCAGTCCCCCCCGAATCCGCTTGACCTCCAGGAGCCACGAAAGTTGCGACAGTCGCGCCGTTCGCAGCCACCCAGGGAGCAGCGAGGTCCCCAATGTGGCTGCGTGAAACGCCACTCCGCTGGACCTCCCCGGAGCCCACAGAAGTGGCGATAGTGCGCAGTTCGCAGCCACCCAGGGAGCAGCGAGGGCCCCAAGCGTCTGCGTGTAATTCCACGTCGCTGGACTTCCCAAGAGCCCGCGAAAGCGACGACAGTTATGCAGTTCATAGCCACCCAGGGAGCACCGCAGCGTGTCCCCAAGGTGTCCGCGTGTAACTCCACTCCGCTGGACCTCCCAGGAGCTTACGAAAGTAACGAGATTTGTGCAGTTCGCAGCCTCCAAAGGAGCAGCGCAGGAGGAGGCAGAAGGAAGGAGGAGGAGGAGGAGGAGGAAGAGGAGGGGGAGGCGGAGACGAGTGGAGACCACAGTGTTCCATTCAAAACGAGAACCCAACGCAGGAGCTCACGAAGGACTCCTTTGTAAAGGGGTTCGCACTCGGAATTCCTTACGAAGGATCCCATATTGAAAGGCATCATTGCTAAGGAACCCTTACCTGGGGAACCTTAAGTAAGAACACAGTGCTAAGGCATTTGCAAACGGATTCCAATGTAAGGACCCCTGATTGACAGCATCCTCGCCAATGGTTCCATATTCATGGCATCCTTCCTCGTCAAGATGTCCGCCTTACAGTCACCCGTACAAATGAGCTTCTTATTGAAAGGATTTTGAATATGGGCTTTTTGTTGAAGAAAGATCCGCACTGAGAGAATCTTCACTGCAGGCATCCTCCTTCAGGACTCTTTACGAAAGGGTCCCCCTGCCAAGAATTTCTCAAAAAAGGGGTCCTCCCGAAGGCATGCTTAGTAAGATGAGGGTCTGTTTTGTCATGGCTCCCTTTCTAAAATGGATGCTGGGCAAGGATCTCTGACTAGACGGCATCCTGAGTAAGGGATCCGAGAGCTCGAGACATCAAGCTTTGGAAAGGATCTTTGCGAAGGGCTCGTTAATACAAGGCTTCCTTACTAAAGGGTTCCTTACTAAAAGTGAAAGGGGCCCCTCCCCAGGAGCCCTGATCAAACGAATCCTTGTCAACGATCCCGTGCTCAGGGCATCCTCGCTAAGGCATCAAGGAGCCCGAGAAAGCAAACATCATCTGTGCCATCGTCAACTCCATCACGGATTGCACAGAGCCCTTCTGCGTGCCATGCGAGAGCGCAGAAACGCAGGGTCCAATTAATGCCATGAAGTCCTAGCGCAGAGGCGGAGTGTGATTGGCCTGGAGACCTACCGGAAGGAGGGCGCGACCTCCTTGGAAGCCCGTGTGTCCCCACGTGTCTTGCCGCACCTGGTGGCCAGGGGGAAAGCGGCTGAGGCCCGCGGGAGGGAGCCACCGGCACTCGCAGCGTGTGCCACGGTCGAGACGCTGAGGCGAAGATGACTTCCAGGGTTCGGAGAGGCTCGACCTTTACAGGTTGCTGCCGTGAGAAAGACCAGAGGAGATCGCTACGGTCGCGATGCGCGGCCGCACCTGCGCAATCGACGCGTTGCAAACACGAGGCGGACTCGCCCAGGGCAGGGCATCCTGCCTTGTCCTATGCGCCCTGTCAGGGGAAACCGTCTGTCCTGTCCCTCACTTCCTCATTCTAACTCCATGCCTCATTACATTCCAGATGCCGGGCCACCTACTTCTCACTCTTTGTTGGGCCGTCCGTTCGATCAATGTCGGGGAACCTGTTCGTGGCCGAGGCTCGCCGCAGCAAGAACAGCGTGTACTTGTCTCGAAAGGTTCGGTCCTTACCAGTGTTCCCAGCTCCCCAAGCGGAAGGAGAGACGGGTGGAATGAAGACGGTGTGAGATTCGGTAGGAGGAGGAGGATGATTCCTTCGACATGTCACAAGAGCGTGGTATATCTTGAAGGGTCTTGTCTTTTCTTTTTCGTGGGCAGTCTTCCCGAGGAGCCGTCTTACGAGCTCGACATCTTCTATGAGGACGATTGGCTTGAGGCTTGACGCCTCTCGCCTCACCGCGGCAAAACTTGTTTGATTCCATGGATGATGTTCCCATGCTGCTGCCCTCGCTGTAGCAGGGGGCGTACCCACAACATGCACGTGCAGCTGTGTCCCAGTCGCACAAGGATCGCAGAGGCCGCAGGCCATTCGGACCTACTCAGTCTTCAACATGTGCGCACAGGGAAGGTACCCGACACGATGCCAGCAGAAATGGTTGGGCAGGCCTAAGATGAGGATCAACCGCCCACCCAGAGCGTTTCGGAACGCTCTCAGAGCTTCCAGGAGCGCTCTTGGACCGGCCACAGTGCCTGGTACATTTTGTAGTCCCGCTGGCCTTCATAGATCCCTGGTATATCCTCATCCTTATCCAAATTCGCCCTCATCCTGCCTTCGTCTCATGGCGCCAACATCGCAGAGCGGATTTCGGTCGGAAATCGATAGGATGGACCCCGAGTGTCCTGGAGAATTTCGTTCCGTATTTCGAGGTGAATATCGCGCGGATGAAGACTAAACAAAAATACACGCGAAAATCATTTTTCTTCATTCGCCGTTTCGGGGTTCTGCTCTGGCAGAAATCCACTCCAAAAAATCCGCTGCAGCACCTCTGCAGGGTCGGTGCAGTGGTTCGTCTCAAGGTGGAGGTGGCGCTCCCCTCGCCTCTTGACGGTCGGAAACTTTTTCAGGAGGGAAAAAGAGGTACACAGACACCATGTATCGTCGATCCCCGGGAAAATATGCGGAAATATGGGGCGTGGGGGGGAGGACGAGAACCCAGGGGATCTGAGAAAATATGGGGCCTCCTGCTATTCGTGTCCATTTCTTTCTGTGCCCCGTGTTATGATGTTCCAACCTACTTTAGCCGTGACCACCAGAGAGAATTCCGAGCGCACCCCAAAACTCGATGGCTTTCACGCGCCGGGCCCTGGGAGACACTGCCTCGACGCTCTTTCGACACTTTTCTGGGAGCTCGAAATTCCTTCTGGGATGTGGGCCTCAAGTACCGAGCCCCTGGGCCCCTCTCGCTCCTGAGCGGCGTGCCGCGCCGCCGGCTCCGGCCCACCGCGCCGCGGCGCGGCACGCCGGCAGCTGCCCGGCCCCAGGCCTCGGCGCCCCGTGGCTCTCCGCGGGCCCCCCCCCCCCCGCCCCCGCGGAGCGGAGCGGCGCGCCGTCCTCGGGAGGGGGGAGGAGCACACAGGCACAAGTGTTACGTCGGTCCTGTCCCCCTCGAGGGGGATTTTCGACGGAAAAATACATGATGAAAACAGAATCCAAACATAGTCTGGGGACTAGTTTTTTGAGTATTTGTCGGCCTTTTTGGGGTATGCTTGGGGTATTTTTTATTTTTCGTCGAAGATCCCCCTGTAGGGGGACACGCCCAACTTAGCACAAGTGCTCCAAATCCCTCAGGGATCGCCCCCCCCCCCCCCCCCCCTAAAAGACCGGACCCCCTTCCAAATACGACCTAATATTCCGGACCTCCCACTTCGACTGGGCGCCTGCCCCCCCCGCCCCGTGGAGCGGAGCGGCACGCTGTCCTCGGGAGGGGGGAGTAGCACACAGGCACAAGTGCTCCAAATCCCTTGGGAATCGACCCCCCCCCTAAAAGACCTGACCCCCTTCCAAATGCGACCTAATGTTCCGGACCCCCTCTTCGCCGAGGTGCCTGAATGAACCGGACCCCCTAAGCTCCAATCCCAAAAAACCGCCCTAACAAACTAGACCCCCCCAGTTACAAAAAAGGCGCCTTAAATAACCGGACCTGGGGGACGATTAATATGGGATTTGGAGTGGACGTCGACTTCCAAGAAAATACAGGAGAATATGGAAGTCGGGGGGGAAGACGAACATCAGGAAAATGTGGTAGAGTATATGGGGAACCTTGGGACTGGTGTGTATTGATTTGTGTGGTCCTGGGCCCCTTCATCTCCACTCGCAGGGCATGGCGGGCCTTTCCGGGGCCTTCTGCGAGAAGCAATGCCATCATTGTCGCCCTTTCGAGCGACACCGTCGTCCTCGATGTGTGCTGCACTGTGTCAGAAGGAGCGACGATGTCATGCGATTCGGCCGCACTGAGTGACAGTGCCATCCGTTTCCCGGGGGCGGGAGGGGCAGATATGACGGGAGGCAAGCCGCACCCATTGTAGTCGCCGAATGGCGTGTCGCTGGGGCCGACGTGCCGACGCGCTGTCCAAGAGTCCCCGGACGTGCCCCCCTCCCGACGAGCGGGGGGAGGGGCGGGGCGCGCCGGTGTGCGGCGCGCAGGTGCTCGGCTGCGGCGTGATCCACCACGAGGTGCTTCAGAACGCAGGCTCCGCGGGCGGGCCGAGACGCCTCTCTGATAGGGGGCCACATGCGAACCCAAATTACCCCGACCCCCTACGATTTCTTGAGGGGGAGGGTGGGGTTCATTTCCAGAGCGAAGTGAACCCCACCCTCCCCCTCAGAAATCTTGGGGGGTAGGGGTAGGGTTCGCATGTGGCCCCCTATCTGAGCACGCGCTCTCATCAGCCTTTCACCCTGGGCAGCAATCGGCAGCCTTTCTTTCAAACGACATGCGTAAGATATATGAACAGCCCCCTCCCCCTCCGGCCTGGGCCGGCCCAGCCCGCAACCATTCTAAGACGCTCGCTGATCCCCCCCCCGTTTCGCTCTCCAGAAGCGGCCCGGAGAGGCCAAGAGGATGCCAAAACGAGCCAAGAGGGTTCTAAGAGGCCCCCAAGACGGCGCAAGAAGGCCTCGAGATGTCCAATACGACCCAAAAAGGCCCCAAGACGCTCCAAGAAGGCTCCCAGAGCACTTCCGAGAGGGCCTCAAGAGGGCAAAATCATTAAATTCCGATGGGGAAATTTACATGTTTAGCATGTGCGCCTTTGCAGCTTTCACGGCTGTGAAGACGGTCCAGGAGGCTCCCAAGACTCCCCCAAGACGGCCCCAGAGGATCCCTGGAGGCCCCGACGGCGGACCAAGAGGGCGCCTAGGCGGCCCAAGAGGCGCCCAAAACGGCCCAAGTTGCCAAGACGACGCCCAAGATTGCCCAAGAACGTCCAGAGTCGCCCAAGACGGTCCAAGATGGCCCCGAGACGGCCCCAGAAGGCTCCGAGACGTCCCAAGAGGCCTGCCAAAGCACTCCCAAGAGGGCTCCAAGAGGCCAAACTGAGGCCGCAGGTGGACCTCCTCTGGGCACGCCCCGTGCACGGCATGTTCCGAAATGGGCGCGGGGACGCCATGCAAAGATGCCCATTCTGGGGCATGATTCGCGTGACAGGTGTGCCAACATGGGCGGGGGGGGGGCGTTGTACGAACCTTCCAGGCCTTTAGGTGGTGCTCCTTGTGGGCACGATCCACGTGATGGGGTGTGCCACAATGACCGGGGGGGGGCCGCAGTGCGAACCCTGCATCTGGGGCTGTGGGTGGAGACCCCTGTGGGCCATGATCACGATCCGTGTGCGAGGTGTGCCGAAGTAGGCGGGATGGCGGGATGCGAACCTTGTCTTTGAGGCCGTCCGTGGATGTCGTTGCGGGCCCCGATACGTGTGCGAAGTGTGCCGAAGTGAACGTGGCGATGTTATGACGCTCCTCTCTGGTGCCGCAAATGCATTTACTTGCGGGGCACGGTCCGCGTGAGGGGTGTGCCACTGCGAACCTCGTCCCTGGTGACGTAATTAAGTGGGTCTCCCTGTGGGTCACGATGCCTGCGAGGGGTGTGCAGGCAGGGCTGGGTGACCCTCAGCCAAGCCCGTCTGAGGGGCTCAGGTGAAACTCCCTGAAGTGCACGACCCTTGTGACAATATATATATATATATATATATATATATATATATATATATCCTCCGATGCCGAACACCGTAGACTACAACTGGAGCCTCGGAGCTCGCTGGAACCTAAGCGCGCGAAGCGCGCGCGTGGTTCTAGTTACTAGATACATACATCGGTATACACACTAGAATCTAATGCTTGTGTACATATATATATATACACAGCATAACTGTGTATGCATCTATATATATATATATATATAGATGGGCAGCCAACCCCAAACAGCTATTCTTACCAGCATTCACTTATGACGGTGGTGCTTTTCCTTTCCTCCTCATCTTCCTCCTCGTCTTTCTTTATTTCTGTCAACCTCGCTCTCTCTCTCTCTCTCGTTGTTTCTCTCTCTCTCTCTCTTTCTCTCCCCCCTCTCGCTGGTCGGCTTCCCAAGGCGTCTGCTGTTTTCCTCAATTCCGACGGTGGTGTAGCGCACGCTCTGCCAGAACGCATTGCAGACGGCGAAAGGACGCCATCCTTCACAAAGGAGGACCTCGGCTTGAACGGACCTGCCCACAAACACGTCGGCCCACCACACATCACGTGTTCATTTGGATGTTTGGGGTTTCTGGGATGAGAAATGTGGGACCCTGTGTTTTCCCCCCTCCAATGAAAATTCCGCCCAGGATCCCACCCAGGAACTCCAGTCCCCAGAATCAAGCACATCCAGATGAAAACGCAAGGTTTGCGACGCTAGGGGCGCGGAAACCCTGTGTTTTCATTTGGGTTCTTGGGAGGTTTGGGATGAGAAGTCAGAAAACCTTGTGCTTTCGTGTTGATTGGCTTGGGTTTGGGGGACTGCTGAGGCTCTGGACCTTCGGGGGCGCCCCGGCGGCATTTCGTCGAAGCGCGGGCATCCCGGCGGAAACGCATGGTTCCCCCATCCCGAATCCCGAAAACCACAAACGCCCAGGCAAAAGCGTTGGGCTTAAGCGCCCTTGGTCTCGCAAGCCTTTTGCCCTGTGGTGTTGGGTCGTTGTTTTGAAGAGGCAGCGCCGCGAGTCTCCCCTTCTCCTCTTCTCTCCTCTCCTGTTCTCTCCTCTCCTCCCCCTCCTCCCGCCTCCCATTCCTCCCCTTCCTCCCTCCCTCCTCCATCATCATCATCATCCTCCTCCTCCTCATCATCATCATCATCATGATCATCACCATCAGCATCCTCATCATCATCACCATCATCGTCATCATCACCATCATCGTCATCATTGTCCATCATCGTCATCGTCACCGTCATGCCCATCACACACACACACGGCTCGTGGCCCCATAGGGAGCTCCACCTAAGGTCCCACCGTCCGCCTGGCGGCGTTGCCCCATGTCGGTCCGGAGTGCAGCTAGCAGCATCGAGCCTAGCTAGAGATGAGTGGCAGCAGCAGTTGCAGGTAACCTCGATGCCGATTGGGCTCGAGGGGGAGAACATTGATCTTGTCATGCGTGGATTTGTCGATGACATTGGCAGGAAAGTTATCGGCGCCAACTCACATCATCTTCGGAAGCTGTGTGCATGGGAGAATATCATTATCGATGCTGGGCGTGAGGAAATCGGGGGGGGGGGGAGGGCACAGAACAGGGAGAAGCAATGCAACATAGTCCAGGGAGCAAAAGGCAAGCTCAGAAGTTGAATAGAGTATTTCATGAACAGCCAGAACTTCTAGAAGGCAATACAAAAGCACACGCAAGGTATCTTAGAGGCCTTCATCACTACAACAACGGGTTCACGGCAGAGAAGTCAGCAAGATCAACAGCTGTCGACAAGGCGTGGAAAACATGGGACACTTCTGGACCTCGTCTACGCCTCTCAGGTCTAGGGCCATCGTCTTCGTCGGTCAGGTCGTCAACGCGGGCCTCAGCAGGCTAGAGGCGTACGCGATGAATATGAAGAACCCGCTCAGCAAAAGATGTCTGGAATCGCTTCAATCCACAGTAGTTAAATACGCCCGAGTACTTCTGAAGGGTAGGTTCTTTGAGCGCACGCAAGGTAGGGTAGTAAAAAAACATTTCTAACGCTGAGGTTCTTAGGAAGTTAAAAGTAGGCAGTCTGTTTTGTGAGCTCAGGATCCGCAGAATTAAGTGGCCCCAATCAATGGTCAGGCACCCCAAGGAGCACGCCCAGGTCCTCGGAGCCCTCCTCGGCCAAGTCAAATGCGAGTGTGGGCCAAAGGACTGCGTTGGAGGCGTCGTCCAGGCGAACGCCAATCCGTGGCTTCGGCAGTTGTGGGAGGACGTCCAGGCCTTGGGGAGCACGGAAGAAGGAACCACTCTCCTCGAAGACCTCGAGGGGTCGCTCTGCAATTTTTTTGAGGAGCCCCACAAAGAGTTTTTTTGTTTTAGTCTCGATCCGTTTGTGCTCAGAGCCAAGGAGCTCACACTTGGGGTGCCTCCCCTTCCTGGGCTTGGTGGGTCGGGCGTGGCGGGTGGGGGTGGGGCCCCGGGCGCTTGTGAAAATCCAGAAGGGGAAGGCACCTTTCCCTGTCCTGCGTGTGAGCAGGATTTTTCGTCACACCAAGCAATGGTCATGCATTGCGTTAGGTCTCAGGCGGAGGGTCACGGAGCAAGGAGTGTACCGTATGCTTCAACGCTTTCCAATTATTGTTTGGTGTGTAGGAGTACTTTCGCGAACAGAGAAGCTGCGCAGCATCGCGTGCGCAGCGCTCTCAAGAAGGGCAGGTACTTCGTCGACGGCAGCGCAAGATGTCATGAGAAGGGTCAACATAGTATTCGACAACGCACGATGTGTAGCCACCATGCTGAGAATGCGGAGGCTTTAGACGCACATCTGTTATCGAATCATCTTGAGCAGCTCCTCCATCCAGATCACTACCTCACGCTTGATGTCGGCGTGGCTTCGAGAAGGCCAAGTGACTGGAATGGTGGAGGAGGCGCCAGGCGGGGGAGGCGAGGCATTGGCGGCTTCGGTGGAGGCGGAGGCGGAGAACCAGGTACAGATGGGCGGCTCGAAGAAGTTCAAGACGGGCAACCACGCGGGCGCGGAGAGGAAGGTGCAGCTCAAAGTGGAGGAGAGGAAGCGAGAGCGGGAGGACAATGACTCGCGCTATCAGTGCCACACGGGCCATCGTATCGAAGCTGGCATGCAACAGGCGGAGGAGAAGTACGTACAAAGCGTGAAATCTGCAGGGTCGGGCCACACCTACGGCACGCCGCGCAGAGCGTCAATGGAGCAGCTGGTAACACTCAACGTGGACGGGAAGTACAACGACGAGGCAATGGACATCCTCGAAGTGCAGGGGTTGCTGGCAGACGCGAACGAGGACGAACCAGGCGGGCTCGTAGAGTGGCATTATAAGCGCAGGTGTAGTGATTACGGCACGAAGGGCAACGCAGCACCACTATCGAGGAGCATGCACAGCGTGAGCGACCATCGGCCCGTGGAGAACAACAAGGAGCAGAACAACGAGCTGGCCAACCAGAAGCACCACCACCAGTTCGCGATAAACACCAGCGACAAACTGACCTAAGTGAGCCTGGACCTCCTCCACATATTCGTGTTGAGGATCGCAGGGGACGCACTTTTTCCAGGGGGGGGCGCTCACAGGAGGGCGGGCGCACCAGCCCAGGAAGCTGGCGACAGTAGTGCGACGCGCTCTGCGCCTCCGCCTGACACCCCAGGCTACGTGACCAGATTAGAGGCTCTTCGTCACATGATTTTGATGCGTGAATTGGCGCGGCGGGCAGAGCAACTGTAAAACTGCCCCTGCGCCTTGGCTTCCCCGCCAGCCTAGTGTCGGGCTAAGCGCGAGGGGAGCCTGGCCTCGTGCTCCGTTCCAGAGTATAAGCCCTCTCACACAAGGTTTCGGACCTGATGTGTCAGGCTCTGCGGTCCCATTGCATCTGTAAGTGGATTCCAGTGAGGGGTTGAAGCAGTATGAGTGAATGAATGAAAAAAAACACACGTATTGCAATCAATGTTGTGCAATGTATGTGGTGCAAGATATGTTGTGCAATCGATGAGGTGCAATCTACGTGGTGTAATTCACCTCGCCGAACTTGAAGTTGTCCATTCCGCTGCTCGCAAAATCATCCCACCCACCCGCCCGCAACTTCGCTTGCAAAACCCATGCGGGAGCGATTGCGATGCGCGCTGGGTGTTGGCTGGTGCATCGCTGCGGCCGCGCTAGCCCGCGCATGCTCGCGCGCGCAGTGGCCAGGTCGTTTGGCGCGACCGACGCGAACCTGGTGGCGCTGACCGCTCGGCACATCCCAGCGGGCACTTCATTGCGAGTCGGCGATTGGGACTTGGACGGGCACGGTAACATGGCAACCCCGGCGACAGTAGGTAGATACGATGATGATCGTAGCGATGCTAGTGACGATGCTGACAGCGACGACGGGGCAGCCAGTGACGGCGCCGATGCTGATCACGCCGACGACGATGACGGCGTCTTCGCGCCGGTGATGAAGGTTTTGGAAGGAATTCGACATGCGCGCGCGGCGGACGCGCGAGTGCGGCCCGCATGGCCTTAATTGACACGGATCGTGCCACCCCAGCACGCGCGCAAGGGCGTTCGAACGATTTTGACATGCGCGCGCGAAGCCCGTCTGAGCATGTTGAACAAGTCATGGTTGTTTTAAGAATTCGCAAACGCGCGCGCACGCTTTTGTTGAACATCAGCGTTGTGAAACCCTGTTTTGTTCTTAAAAATGATTTTGGACACTTGAGTTTGAAATTCCTCCGGCACCAAAGGTTTTTGAAGGATTCCGGCATGCGCAAGCGACGACGCGCGCGTGCGCATTTCGTCCCAATTGTTGCAGAGGCTCTTGCAAACCTATGTTTTTTTGATAAACGAGCGCACGCGCATATAATTTGTTGCAGAGGATGGCGGGGGAGACCGATACCGGCCTGGCAGGGGTAGTATGGGCGCACAGGTAGGATGGACATTGCGTCAGGATCATATGTGGTTTGCGTGGGTTCCCGGGGTATGGATAGGTCCGGGGGGGGAAGACCGCATTTTCTTTTCAGAAATCAGAGTCTATGTGGTTCATTCCGACGGCGGCGACAGGCGGCGATGAGGCGGCGACGGGGTGGCGACGGCGACAACATAGCCGCCCCAGGGCGGCACACCAGCCCAGACGACGGACGGCGACGTGGCGGCGACGGGGCGGCGACGGCGGCAACGTAGCCGACAAACAAGCACACCAGCCCAGTTCGTGAGGAAATAACTAAGGGCCCTCAAATTCAAGTACTCTGCTCTGGAATCAATGATTTGCGACTTCTTGCCGAAGCCGTCTTGGACGCTCCAACTCCTCGCCGCCCCCCCCCCTTGAGGTCCACGGGGAGGGTGAAAGGGGAGGGCCCTCCCTAAGTGGAGATAGGGCTTTGGGAGAGGAAACTCTCTGAAACACATGGCTGGTGGTATTCAAGCCCCCTCGGGGCAAAATATATCCATATCCGTCGCCCGCTGGGGTCCATTGACGTCTGTTCTATAGGCGGCGGCTATGGATATACCCCCGCCTCGTATTGTAGTGGCCTTCGGCCAATTCCGCCGATCCGGGACGCTTCCGTTTTTGACAGAAGTGCACGATGACGGTCATGACCAGCGACGATGGCGAGCGGTGACGATGATGATGAGGATTGGAAATGGAGGCAACGGGGTAGGATGATTATGAGGAGCAGGAGGAGGAGCAGGAGGAGGAGGAGGAGGAGGAGGAGGAGGAGGAGCAGGAGGACCATGATGAGGTGGAGGGGGGCGGAAGGGGGGAGGAGCAGGAGTAGCAGGACCCCCGTCTCGTATTTCTGCTCCCGCGCTTGCCCAGGCCTCGATCCTGCAAAAGTCCACGGCTGGGCGTTCGGGATCGGCCTCGAGAGGATCGCGATGGTCCTCTTCGGCGCTCGGGGGACGGGTCGGCCTGCCGACTGACGCCGAGCTTTGGGAGGGGCACGCAGCCCATGGGGGTCACTGGTTACCAGCCTGAAGCACATCCCTGTCCCTATGACTGCCATCGGCTTATCTCGATGCCGATGTTTGGGGTTCGTTCAGCTCCCGAGGGCGCATCCCCAAGATTGGAGTCGCCTCTTGGGTTGTCAATCTTGGGGGTAAGGATCGGCTTGAGCCTGGTCAATTGGGCCGGGGGGGGGCCCGGGCGGGCGCGGCACAGGGGAACTTTTCGCGGTCTCTCTCCCGAGGCCTGCCGGGCCGTCCCGATGACTGTGTCGGCCGCCCGCCTGATGTAGGGGGCCACATGCGATCTTACCCCATCCTCCCCTTCAGAAATCGTGGGGGGCAAGGTAGGGTTCGCATGTGGCCCCCTATGACGTCCACTGCCATTAAGGGGGCTCCTGCGACGCAGCCCGATGCAAGCCGCGCCATGGCATCGCTCTCGTGGTGATCTGGTCGGTCTCTCGGTCGCTCGGCCTTGCGGCCTCGTGGGCTGCGCGGCGGGCCAGGGCGGGGCTCGCTGCCGGAGGCCCTCCTGCGCCAGGGCGGCCAGGATTGGAGAAGGAGGAGGAGGAGGAGGAGGAGGAGGAGGAGGGGGGGGAGGAGGAGGAGAGGAGGAGGAGGAGGGAGAGAGGAGGAGGAGGAGAGGAGGAGGAGGAGGAGGAGGAGGAGGAGGAGGAGAGGAGGGGAGAGAGGAGGAGAGAGGAAGGAGGAAGGAGGAGAGGAGGAGAGGAGGGAAGCTGAGGCATGCTGACAGGTTGCCAAGGAGTGATGGAGCAGGGGGACGAACAACGACATAAGCATAAAAACTCTGAGGTCCGCGCGGATTTCTCGGATCGCCGCTGGACTCCCCTCCTTGGCGCGTGGAGCGCGCCAGGGGCGGCGCCGGAGGCGCCGCCAAGGGGGGCCCCAGCGCCGATCTGAGAAATCCGCGCGGAACTCCGAGTTTTATGTTTATGCCATTGTTTGCGTCGATTAGCGTCGATCCGCAAGGGCGAACGATATGGTATTGTTGGCGCCCATGAGTTGCCACCGAATGGGGGGGGGTGAGATGGGGTGGGGAGGGGAGAGGGATTGGGCAGGCTCTATGGGGGACTAGAGACACCCCAGCCCCAGCATGCGGGGAGGATCACAAACATTCTGCTGGGACGAGGTCGCTTGAAATAGCGGAGGCAGTGGATATCTCCGCATCCAGAATCATGCACACCATACGAATTTGAGTTGTCTTCGCTCATGACTTCCGTTCGCGTTCACCCTGCTTGTATCTAGTATTCTTCGGCCCACCTGGATTGTGAACAGGAGGCCTCTGAGCAGCCTCTTGGGCGGGGTGTCGTGGGAGGGCTCTTGCGGGCCTCTCCAGGAACTCTCTGCGCATTTCGGGCGCCTCCTGGGGGCCTGCTGGCAGTCTCGGGGACCAGGCTGGGACCGCCTTGGGGCGGGGGTTCGAAGTAGCAGTTCGAGTTCTCGCTCTCGGGCCCTTCTTTTACCCATCCTGGCTCGGGGGTCGTGTTGCAGCAATTCTGGGGCCCTCTTACGCTGCTTCGAGCGCTCTGGAGATGGAAAAGCCGAGAATACTAACGGACATCATGCAACATACAAGCACACATGGGATTTTGACGCGCTTGACTTCTTGTGCCAGCCATCAGAGCTCACAAGATGGCCCGAGCGACTTCCGAGAGAAGCCCCAACCACCCCTTCGGTTCATCTCAGGACTCACTGGAGCTGAACTCCGAACCACGCCCCTTGGGCCTGTGGACAAGTCACGCGACGCACCCCGGGAGCGCCCGAGAGCAGCCATGAATGCTGTGAATCCGAGACCCGAGGCCCGCAAGTAGATAGTATTGATTTTGCCCAACGTGGGGGACTTTCATCGGGCGAAGAGAAGTATACACATGCACTGATTCTGGCAAGGCCCGTCCTTGACCCAGGATCGGTGCATATACCTTCCTGGCCAAGGTAGCGTGCGTATGCACCGATCCTTGTCTCAGGATGGGCCTGGCCAGAATCGTTGTATGCGCATAGTTCTCTTTCCTCTATCCAGGTACCTGAGGACGCTCCCTCCGCTCAGGGTCTACGGCACGTTGTCGGGTAAACGTGTCGTGTGAGCAAATGACAGTGTAAGCGAAAGAAAGAAAAGGGTGAGGTCTGGCCACTGAACGCTACACACTCGCGGCTAGCGTCTCGGGACATTCGCAAGCAATCCGAGGCAGGCCTGGGAACCGTTCTTCCAGAATTGAGAACTGATGTGATGTAGGCTGGTTGGTGGGAGCTCACCTATTCCGAAGTGCGTTGGTTCTCTTGCTGCCTCTCGCTGCGGCCAGCTTTTTGGCGAAGACCAGGGTGCGTGGGGAGGGATTAACGACATACGGCTGTTCTGGTCTGACGACAAGCGATTCACGGAGCAGTTTGATGAGTCCGCGTTCAGCAGCAAAGTCAAGTTTAAGCCATTCTCGAAGTACCCGCCCGTCAAGAAGGACATCAGCATGTGGATCCCGGAAGGGGGGGTCGGTGATCGGTGATAGGGGCTTTAGAGGCGGGGACCAAGCATGTTAAGAGCGAGGTCCGGCCACAGTGAATCGGAAGGTGCGGAGTTGCACAGAGGGAGTCGGACTTTGGCGCCTGCAGTGCAGGTCTCCTGGTCACTGGCTTAACCATGCGGCCAGGCCTTGTGGGCTCGGAGGGGGCGGAGGAGGAGGTCGGAACTCGGAACTCGGAAATCCGCGAAGAGACGAGAAGGAGGAGGAGGAGGAAGAGGAGGAGGAGGAGGAGGAAGAAGAGGACGAAGAGGAAGAGGAAGAGGAGTAGGAGGAGGAAGAGGAGGAAGAGGAGGAATGAAACTGGCCCTGAGGGAAGAAGGAGGAGGGAAAAGAGGAGGAAGAGGAGGAAGGAAACGGGTCCTGAGGGAAACGGGGCCTGAGGTATTCCGCTGTTTTGGGCCTCCTGGGGCCCTCCACTGGCCCCGATGCTGTTAGGAAATTGTTGAGGGCCAAGCACTGGTCCTGGGGTAGGGATCCGTGGTCACAGGACCCCTTTCCCACAGGACCCATTTCTGTCATGTGAATCGCTTCGCTCTTTCCGCCGGCCCATGTTGTCGCACCGCTGTCGATCGTCCAAGTGCTCGTTGTCGATGCGGTGTTGCTAAGCGGGGGCTGCTTTCCTGAGTGGATGCGTGGGGTGCGTTGGAGGTGACACAGGGACTGTGGAGTTGGTTGCGGGGTTTCGTCGCAGACTGCTGCGGTTCTTCTGGGCAATCGATTCTGGCAGGCTTGTTTGGTGGGGTGGAGGAGGCCTGTGACGGCATTTTGGGTCCTCTTGGGAGACTCGGCCTCCCCCTCCTCCTGTCCTCCCTTTTCATCCCTCGGGCACCTCCCCCCTTCCCCCTTCCCCCTCCCCCTCCCCTCCCCCTCCTCTTCCTCCTCCTCTCCTCGTCCTCCTCCTCCTCCTCCTCCTCCTCCTCCTCCTCCTCCTCCTCCTCCTCCTCCTCCCCCCCCGTGGTTTCCTGAGGGCCCTTGGGGGGCATCTTGGGGCAGAAAACTCAAAATGTCAGTTCGGGTGCGCAATCTCGGCCGTCTCTTGGAGCTGTCTTGGAGGCCTCTTGGCCCGTCTTGGAGACCGCCTGGGCCGTTTGGGAGCCCTCTTCGAGAGCTCTCGAGTCGTCCTTGGGGCGGTCTTGGGAGCGACTTGGGCCGTCCGGGAGCGTCAAGAAGCTGCAAGGGAGAGCACGCCGAAATGGAAGATCAAGGATTTGTGCCTCTTGGGGCCCTCTTGGGACGCCTCATTGGAGTCCTCTTGGGGCGTGTTAGGGGCATCTTGGGCCATCTCGAGGCCATCTGGGGCCGTCTTGGAGCGCTCTTGGCCTCAGGCCGTGGGACCTGCCACCCGCTTGGCGGCTCCTTGGGCCGCTCCTGGGTTGCTCTGGAGGCCAGAAGGGCCGCGGCGAAGAGATCCGTCATCTCTGACGGAGCCCTGCGGGGGATCTGTGGGGACCTTCCTGGGGAAGGTTTCGTTCCAGGACCCCAGGGGCCGCCACGCGCGCGCGAATCCGAATATTGTTAACTTGTTGCCAGAGATCTTAGCACATCTTTGGCCCGTTGGGCCGGCGAATCAATGGGTACCAGGAGGAGGAGGAGGAGGAGGAGGAGGAGGAGGAGGAGGAGGAGGAGGAGGAGGAGGAGGACAAGCTAGGTACGCAAGCGTCGTATCTGACGTCCTACCCCTCCCTCCCATCTCTTACCATGGCGCAGATATCCTCTCTATTCGCGCAGTCCGATGTCGTAGCATGGCATAGCATTACATGGCATAACATGGCGTTGAAGATCAACGCGTAGCATGACATAGCATGGCGTGGCACTGCGTAGTCCAGCACTGTATAACATGGCATTGCAGCTGAAGGCATGGCATTGCACAGCGGAACACACCATAGCATCGCATTGCATGCCATGGCATGGCGCTGGAAATGAGGCCAGCGCTGCAGCGGGAACACGATTCGGAACGAGCAGAAGCGGGGACATGAGGCCAGCGCTGCAGCGGGAACACGATTCGGAACGACCAGAAGCGCGGTAATGAGGTCAGCGCTGCAGCGGGGGCGCGATTCGGAACGAGCGGAAGCCCGAAAATGAGGCTAGCGCTGCAGCGGGAGCAACATTTTGAAGGATAGGAAAAACACGGATGTGTAAAGCACATATGAACAACGGGCATAGCCAGGGGAGAGAAGAGAGTAGTATTCAGATTGTGTGATTGTGGAGGAGGGGAATGAGGATGAGGCGGAGGAGGAAGAATATGAGGAGGAGGAGGAGGAGGAGGAGGAGGAGAGAGGAGGAGGAGAGGAGAGGAGGAGGATGAGAAGAGGAGAAGGAGGAGGAGAGGAGGAGGAGGAGGAGGAGGAGGAGGAGCGGAGGAGGAGAGGAGGAGGAGGAGCCGGGGGAGGAGGAGGAGCAGGAGGAGGAGGAGGAGGAGGAGCAGGATGACGGAGGAGGAGGAGGAGGAGGAGGAGGAGGAGGAGGAGGAGGAGGAGGAGGACGGTCTGTGCCCGCGCGCCTCCTAGCGGCCGCCCACCGCGTCGTGCCGGAGGTGTGCTCGCCCGTAGGGGGCCACCCCCCCAACAGGCCTCCAATCGCCCATTAATCGCCGGTAGTGGCCCGACAGCCCCAACCTGCACAGGAAGGTGCGAATTCACTATCGGGGGCCTGTCGCCGATCTATCGGCGAGGTATCGCCGATTCCAGGTCTACGCATCCCCCCCTATGCCAGACCCCCCCTATCGCTGCCCCTCATGTGCCCTTGGCGACGAGCTCCTTCAGGTCGTCCCCGTCGAGCTCGGGCAGACCATCCTCTCAGGAGCCGTATCAGGGCCCACGTCGATCGTGGCCGCCTCCCCCATGGGGCTGGTCGCCTTCTTCACTGGCCTCCCCGACGCCCCGCGGCTCCGCCGAGGTCGTGCGCGGCGCCGGTTCTGCCGGGGGCTCCATGGCGTCCCCGGTGGGGGGCGGCCCTGGCCCCCCGGGGCCCCCCGAGGAGCGGGGCGCGTCCAAGAGTGCCGCATGAAGCCGCAGGCGGTGGCCCGTGGGGCGGGGGCGCGCCGGCGCTCGGAGGCCCGAGGAGCGGGGCCACACGAGGCGGGGCTGCCGCTCTGGGCGACTCGAGCGAGGAGCGGGTCCGCAAGACCCTGCGTACCTCAGCACCTACCAAGCCACCCCATACCCTCCTCCTCCTCCTCCGCCTCCGCCTCCGCCTCCGCCTCCGCCTCCTCCTCCTCCTCCGAAGGCTTCAATTTGCTCTCCATTTCCAGTGGGGGGGGGTCGGGGAACACTTGATGAAACACATGTGGAGCCGCACCCCGTCCAACCCGACGTGCGGGTCTTCGGGCTGGGCTGGGGTGGTCTGGTAGGCAGCCGAGGAGCGGGACCACACCGGCCTCGGTATCTGCTGCTGCCAGCTCGCCGTGCGGCCCCCTGCCAGCACTCATATCGCCCTCTGGCGACCCGAGGGGCGGGGCCACGCCAGGATTTGTCGCAGCTTGTGCGGCGCGCATCCTGAAGCCGTGGATCGGCTCTCTCATGAGCGGGTGCGTCACCGGGTGCCTCCCTCAGGGGGCCGCATGCGAACCCTACCCCTACCCCACACGATTTCTGAGAGGGAGGGTGGGGTTCACTTCGCTCGGGAGTTCCCGAACGAAGTGAACCCCACCCTCCCCCTCAGAAATCGTGGGGGGCAGTGGTAGGGTTCGCATGCGGCTCCCCCTGCCTGCATATGGTCGAGTCTGGTCTTCGCGTTATTGTGTCTCAGCTTCCCGTCACACACCTGTGCCGGCAAGATTGTTGGGCCGCCCGTGCTTCTAGCACCGCACGCCTTGCAGAAGATCACCGTGCTGGCCGCCATCCGCTTGTGGCTCTGGTGTACAAGTCGAACCGCGTGCGGGTATCTTCTGCACAGTCTGGCAGCAAACTATCTCTCGGATTTTGATCGCTCCCCGCATTTGTCACATCCCTAGCTTGGCTTCGCCTTCCCACCTAGCCACTGCGGCCTGTGTCTCAATGCGGCTCTGTCGTCCCCCGCTGCGTAGACATCGTCTGACATGAACAGCTGGGGCCGGATTTCCCCCTGCAGGTGGGCTTATACTCGTCTGCCCATTCCGCTGTCGCCCGTCCCCGTGCGCGCGTCTCCCTCGCCACTAGCTGCCCGCTTGGCTGCCACCCCTGCTTCGGCCAATCTCACCTTCTTGTCAGGCTGGGACGTCGCTTCCACCTCGCCCGGTATGCACTTCTGTATCTTCCGCTTGACCCCTTGCATCTCCTTGCGGGTGTTGCCCGTCTTGACGATCTGGCTGATTGGTGCGTCGTCATCGCTGGTGTCGCCCTCGTCCGTTTCGGCCCTCTAGGTCTTCCTTGGTCGCCTTGCTTGTGTTGCGCTTGGGCTTCCGCTCATGGCTGCCACCACTGCCCCTGCCTATCTCACTGCGAGCGCGTCTTCGTTGGTACTGCTTGCGATCCTCTACTGGGATCGCTCCATCACCCCGCCTGGGTCTGGCCTCGTCTGGTGCCTGGTGTCCGAAAAGCTTTCGAAATTGTCACCTCAGTTCTGGCAGTGGAACCTCATCTCGGCCTGCCTGACCTCCTCGGCCGCGTTGTTGATCATCCTGAAGAGCCTTCTTAGTCTTGGCGCCACTTGGTTTCGTTCCCTCCTGCGAGATTCCTCAAGGAAGTCATCGGACCTCGTGTTCGGGTTGGACTCGCCGAGGTGCCTTCTGAGGCCACCATGCGCTGCAGTACTTCGCGCAAGTAGGCCACACACCATTCGGCCCCGTACTCCTCGTCCGTGTGCTCCCCGCCACGCATGTAAGTCGAACTGCGTGCGCGCCAAGGTTTGGACACGCCGTCGAAGTATGTGCGCTTGGTCGATCGGGGTTGGTCCGTACTGCGTGTGAACGGAAGACATGCGCCCCATGCAACTCGGTTCGTCGCTGCCCCCGTCCCCGGATCGCTCATGGCAGAGCACCCTGCCTTTCGCTTCCGATCTTGCCGTGAGCTCCTTGGTTCATGGTCTCTCGGTCGAGTGGTTGCCCTCCAGTTCTTCAAGTCCGTTCGCCGTCGCTCTCAGCTGCTTGCCTGTGGTGTCGCCTGGACAACCAAGACGCGATTGTCGAGGCAAGAGGGTGGGAGAGAGAGAGAGAGAGGACGAGGATGAGAATGGTAGTACTGCCCGCAACTAAAGCATCCGTCCAGCGGGGGGTGTTGTTCCGTTGCGCCTCCCAGGGGGAGGGGGAGCGGATTTGGAGGTCTGGTATGTGGAAGAGCGCGTGGACGCACCGACTTCCCAACCCAACCAGCTCACCCTGATGGCCACCATAAACACCATATTTCGATGTAGCGTCTGCCTGCCAGCAACACTGCCACTCAAGCGTGTTCGCCCCCACCTAGGACACGGGCTTCGTCGGCATCAGTACGTCGACCAAACGTTTCTGCACTTGGCGCCGAGCCTACCGCTCATAGCCTGTCATCATCTGCCAAGGCTGGACTCCACCGATCATCGCCTTTAGTCATCATCGTAACTTCCACGCGTCGCTCAACACTTCGTCGGCACTTCAAGCTGAAACCGTGGAGCCACTTTGAGGTGACCATTGGCCGCTTCCCCACATACACTTGGGATGGCGGTCTAAGTATGCCAGTCGCTTCCTGAAGGTATCGCCCAACGCTTGCGCACCCACAGCTTCGGCTTTACTTTTGTTTCCATAAGGAGAACGAGGTGGTCAGCCTTTAGGGCGCCGCATTCATTCGATTTCTGATGGGAAGGGCACGTCGGTTCCAAAAGGTCACTTCCCTGCCCGTCCACGTCCTTCTGTTCAGCGTCTTTCTCCATCTCCCCATCCCATCCTCGTTCCATCTACTAGTGTTGCCCCTTCTTCCCCTGTTTCTCGCCTTATTCCTCTTGTTCTTTCTCTCCAGTATTCTCCTCCTGCTTGTCCTCCTCCCTATCCCCCTCCCCTCCTCCACTTTCTTCTCCTCCTGTTCGACGCCCCCCTCTTCCTGGGGGGCCACAGGACGACTTCGTTGACAACGATCTCTTCGAGATGATCCGTGACGAGGGCGGGGACCAGGTCGAGAAGGTGCGAAGGGCAGGACATTTCGATTCAAGGACGCATGTGGAATGCTTGGAGGTTGGTGGAACGTGTTACCTGTTCTGGTGTGTTGTAATGTTTCGTATCGTTTTGAAGTCGTTGGATGCGCGGGAAAGCGAGAGGAGCGCGGTGATTTTCTGCTGCTGAGTCTGGGGCCGCGATCGGTCAGACAGGCATCTGCTTCGGTGCTCGCAGCGGGGCCAGAAGCTGCTTCGACACGGACCCTCGACAGTATTTCCGTGGAGGGGCGTTGGGGCATTCCAGGGTTCGCTTGGTGATGCGTCGCTCGACCTCAAAAGCATCCCTCTGGCAGGGCTGTTGGTTTCGTCAGGAGGAAGGGAGTGGAGTTTTGCTGGACCCTGGACGTAGTACACGGACGCTCTGGACGCCGCAGAACTTGCATTGGCTTCTGCCACCGCTGCTTGTTTACCCTGAGACATCCCGTCGGAATCGCACCCCTCCATTCCGGCAAGCAGGACAGGCTTGCAGCCGTGGAGTGGGCACGGAGATTGCACGACAGCAGTCTCGAGGAGCGGAAGAGGACGAGGAGGCGAAGGAGGAGCAGAAGCCTGCCTCCCTGGGCGCCAGCCAGGCCAGTGCCGCCTTTTGCGGTGGGCCGCTGGCCTCGACTCAGCATGCGACGGCTTCGTAGAGGGCCTTCCCTCGATCCCGGCCAGGCGAGGTGTGAAGAATGAGTCGGATTTCAGTCGCAAGCTTGAAGTTCTCTATCGTGTTGGATTCCGTGTGTCCTGATCCCTAAGTCCTGAGGGAGGAGGAGGAGGGAGCAGGAGGAGAGGGAGAGAGAGAGAGATGAGGGAACGGGACAGAGGAGGAGGAGGAGGAGCAGGAGGAGCAGGAGGAGGAGGAGGAGGAGGGAATGGCGGGGGTCGGGAGATTGTTGTGGGGGTGCGGCGGTTGTGGGCAGGTGGATCTGACTGGCGGCGGTCGGGAGATTGGTGTGGAGTGTCATTCGGAGGGGGGGCGGCGGTTTTGGGCAGGTGGATCTGATCGACGAGTTCACGAACAAGAAGACCGGCAAGAAGTCGAAGGCCTTCCGGGTGATTTGGCGCGACATGTCTCGCACCCTCACCAACGAGGAGGCCTCCGGGGAGGCAGTGGGACCTGGGAAGCCTTGGGATTTCATGTTCACAGGGCGAGGGATGGTGCAGGCTCATGCGGGGTGCTGCCCTCCTGGGCCCATCGAGTTCACGTGCCCTGCCAGTGCGCTCACCTCGCCGTGCCAGGCAATCTTTCTGAGTCCCCCCCCCTTCGCAGCCAGCTGTCGTCGGACCGTTTTTTTCACCACCCTTACTATAGGTAGCAGATGGAGGAGGAGGAGGAGGAGGAGGAGGAGGCGGAGAAGGGGGAGGAGGAGGAGGAGCGGGAGGAGGAAGCGGTTTACCAGCGTCCCCGTTTTTTCTGCGGTGACCCCGAGAGGTGGCTTCGCGAGAGCGCGAGGATGTAATTGCGGTGGCCGCGGGTCGCGGCGTTGTGCGACCCAGGGGCGAGGCAAGAACATGCGCCACGTGGTTGGGTACGGGGATGGGCGGGGATGGGGGTGGTTTTGCACCTCGCGCACGACCGCCCACCCCACCTCTCCCCCCTGGAACGCCGCGCCTCCCCCTTCTCTCTCTCCTCTCATCCGCTCACTCTGTTGCTTGTTCGTTCTCGCTCTCCCTTCTCTCTTTCTCGCTTGCTTGCTTGTGCTCTCTCTCTCTCTCTAACTCTAACTTTAACTCTCACTCTAACTCTAACTCTAACTCTAACTCTCTCTCTCTCTCTGGCTGTCTCTCTCTCTCTCTGGCTGTCTCTCTCTCTCTCTCTCCCTCTTCTGCCTCTTCGCTCGTCCCCTGGCCTCGGGCGCCGGGGCGCGCCGCTCCCTCCCCCCCTTTCCTCCTGTCCCCTCTTCCTCTCCCCGTTCCTCCCCCTCTCCCCCCCTTTTCTCCCCCCTCTCCTCCCCCCCTTTCCTCCTCCCCCCTTGCCTTCCCCCTCCTCCTCCCCCCTCTTCCTCCCCCCGTTTCTCCCCCTCTCCCCCCTCTTTCCTCCCCCCTCTCCTCCCCCCGTTTCCTCCTGCCCCCTTTCCTCTCCCCTCTCCTCCCCCCTCGCCTCCCCCCCTTTCCCGCGTTCGGGTCGCACCTCCTGGCCCTCGTTCGCCGTGGCCGCTGGTCTGCGCACCTTTTGATGCGGGGCCTGCCCTGCCGGAGGCAGGTCGATCCACGCGTCATGCTCCGCCCGCCTTCCCCGTCTGACCCCGTTGCAAACGGACCGCGTGCGCGCTCTTGCATCGAACGAAGATTGGAACACGCAGCTCTGTGGGCGAAATTCATGGTGGCGCTGGTGCACTCACCAGTGTCATGCATGTCTTGTGTTCCCAGTCAGGGGGTGCGAGGGAACATAATCCTTGCTTAAACAGTTTGTTGGCTGTCAATGGGGGGGCAGCTATTGTAAAAACAGACGTCGGCAGCAGCATTGTGCTGCTTCTTCGAAGGGGTCGGTTATTGATGATAGCTTTGTGTTATTTCACACGTGGTCTGTTTTTTTGATTCAAGGGGCTGGCGCCATTCTACCGACCCACCAGGTTGAGGGCTCTTGGGTTAAGTCGGGCCTGTCCCTCTACAGGGGGAATATTCAGAAATAGTCTCAAAATAGTCGGGGGAGTATTTCTTGAGTATTTTGGGGGATCTTTCCTGTGCATTTTTTCCGTATGTTCATCATTATTCGTCCAAAATCCCCTTGTATGGGGGACAGGCCCGACCTAATTCTTGGGGGCACATGGGGAGATTTTCGTGGCTTCTTGGGGGCCCAGACGGGCTTCCTGGGAACTCGTGGAGGCCTCGTGGGGCCTCCTGGGGGCGCCTCGGGGGGGCCTTTGGGGGTTCGACTGGGGCCTATGTTTTTTTTGTTTTTTTTTGGGGGGGGGGGGAAAGGCTCGACATTGATCTTTGGGGCCCCTTGGGCAGTCTTGCTTGGACGCTGTCAAGACGGGAGACACGTGTACACGCCGGTCGCCCAGATCCAATCTCATTCAAGCGCCTTCCTACTTAAAGAACCAATGCGCTTTTTCTGTGGTTTGTTATTATCTGGGAGGCCCTAAACCCAATCTACTTGATCTGCCTTCCTACTTCATGTTTTTTACATACTTTTTTCCGACCGGCGTGTATGTGTGTGTGTGTGTGCAGAAAATGAACGTTTTCCGATGGGACTGGCCATTCTTGCCTCTTGAGGCCCTGTCGGCGGTCCCCTTGGAGCTCTCTTGGGGCGTCTTGGGGGACTTGTCGGCCTGCCTTGAGGCTACCTTTGGTAGTTTGAGGTCTTTCTCTCTGGCGCGTTGGAGCCCAGCTTGCGCAAGCTTGGAGGGAATCTTGGGCATCTGGGAGGCTTCGGGCTCTCTCGGCCTGGAGCCTCCGGAGACCCCGGGGGTTATTGAGGAGCCCCCCCCTTCAAAACGCGATTCTGGACCTTGGGGGAGGGGGAGGGTGGGAGGGGGGGAGGGGCAAGCTAGGTGCGCTCGCGTCATATCTGACATCCTACCCCTCCCTCCCATCCCTTACCATGGCGCAGATCCCCTCTCTACTCGCACAGTCGGATGTCGAGCAGGGCAATGATCCCGAAAGGGTACGCGATGCATTGTAGAGCACGGCGTGGCATGGCGTAGAAGAGCACCGCGAACGGGAGCACGAGTCGAAACGAGCGAAAGCGCGGAAATGAGGCCAGCGCTGCAGCGGGAGCACGATTCGGAACGAGCGGAAGCACGGAAAAGAGGCCAGCGCTGCAGCGGGAGCACGATTCGGAACGAGCGGGGCCCGAAAATGAAGCCGGCGCCTCAGCGAGAGCAGCATTTTGAAAAAAATGCAGGCGAAAACCCAACTCCGGGGAAACCTGTGTGTAAAAAACAATACGCGGGGGGGGGGGATCGGACACTCCCAGGCCGTCATCAGGAGAAGGGGGAGAGTCGAAACCAACTGCCCTAGCAAGCTCAACCTGCCAACCCGTCCAACCAGCCAGCCAACCCACCCAGCCACCCCGCCACCTAGCCAACCCGTCAGCCAACCAGCCCAGCCGCCCACCCCGTCATCACGCCAACCAGCCGATCCCCTCCGCCTGCTCTCCGTGCCCAACCAGCCACCCTGCCAACCCGCTCTCCCCCGCCGCCTGCCCTCCGTCACTGCCGAGAAGGGGGGGGGAAGTGTTTCTTACAAGCGAAAAGCAGAAAACTAGCCCTCCCGGGGACCGGCGGGACAGCGGGGAGGCGGCAAATCGCACCGTCCTGTGCAGGAATGGCGGGGGGGGGGGGGCCCGGCAGGCACGGTTTTGGGCCTCAAGTGTGTAATTGTCGTCATTTTTCAACGTCCGCCGCGCCCTCTTTCTCAATGGGCAGGTTCACATCCTTGAAACTTTCGCCAATTTTGAGGCCCCGCGCGTGGCTTCTTAGAGAGCCGCCAAGAGGCCCCAGGAGGTCTCAGGAGGCATCAGGAAGCTCCAGGAAGCTTCAGGCCGTCCCCGGAGGCCGTGGGAATCCTGAGGAGGCTCCAGGACGCTCAAGGAAATCCCAGGATGCCCCGCGAGGTCCCGCAAGGCCCCAGGAGGTCCCATCACGCTCCGGGCATATCTTGAACGACCCAAAAGTTCCAGAACGCTGCGGACGCCCTGGAGGGCTGAGGATACCCTAGGAGAGCCCAGGAGGTTTCAAGAGGCCGCAGGAAGTCTCCAGATGTTGCTATCCCAGGAGGCCCCCGGGATTACCAGGAGGCTCCATGAGGTCCCATGGTCCATCACGCCCGAGGTACGGAGGGGGAGGCGGAGGAGGAGGAGGAGGAGGAGGACGTGGAGGAGGAGGAGGATGAGGACAAGAAAAAAGTGGAGGAGGAGGAGGACGAGGAGAAGGATGAGGAGGAGGACGAGCATGATGAGGAAAGGATGAGCAGGGTGACGGCGTGACGCCCAAACAAATACACTTGGTCCTACCCCCGCGAGGGGCGCTACGTGGTAGTATTCATATTGAGTAATTGTGGAGGAGGAAAGGGGGAGGGGGAGGGGAGAGGGGAGAGGGAGGGGGAGGGGGGGGGGGGGGGAGGGGGAGGGGGAGGGGGCAAGCTAGGTGCGCTCGCGTCATATCTGACGTCCTACCCCTCCCTCCCATCCCTTACCATGGCGCTGATTTTCTCTATCCGCGGACGCGTGTCGTAGCGGACCTGTGGCTCCGCGCGCGCGTGCGTAGTGGGTGGTGGTGCACGTGCGTGCGTGCGTGCGTGTGTGCGTGGTTGTGGTGGTGGTGGTGGTGGTGGTGGTGGTGGTGGTGGTGGTGGTGGTGGTGGTGCTGGTGGTGGTGGTGGTGGTGCTGGTGGTGGTGGTGGTGGTGGTGGTGGTGGTGGTGGTGGTGGTGGTGGGTGCTGGTGCTGGTGGTGGTTGGGTGGTGGTGGTGGTGGCGGATGGCGCGCGCGAGAAAAAGGCCCGCGCTGGGGCGAGAACGCCATCCTGAACGACGGAGGCCAAACACCGATCCGAAAATGAGGCCCACGCTGCAGCGGGAGCACGATTCGGAACGATTCGGGAGCAGAAATGAGGCCGGCGCCACAACGAGAGCAGCATTCTGGGAAAAAATGACGCCGGCGCCTCAGCGAGAGTCGTTTCCCGGGATTTCCCGGGCATCCTGTGTGTTAAAACAGTACGCGGAGGGTGCGCGGCTATCACCTGGACGACGATCCGGAACGATTCGGGAGCAGAAATGAGGCCGGCGCCTCAACAAGAGCAGCATTTTGGGAAAAAATGACGCCGGCGCCTCAGCGAGAGTCGTTTCCCGGGATTTCCCGGGCATCCTGTGTGTTAAAACAGTGCGCGGAGGGTGCGCGGCCATCACCCGGACGACGATCCGGAACGATTCGGGAGCAGAAATGAGGCCGGCGCCTCAACGAGAGCAGCATTTTGGGAAAAAATGACGCTGGCGCCCCAGCGAGAGTCGTTTCCCGGGATTTTCTGGGCATCGTGTGTGTTAAAAATCAATACGCGGAGGGTGCGCGGCTATCACCCGGACGCCATCAGGGGAAGAGGGATAGTATATTCATATTGAGTAATTGTGGAGGGGGACAACCCAATACCTTAT